GGTACAGGAACTATAGGCCTTCGCAGCGCTGTCGCTGCTCGGGCCTAATAAACGATACAGAAACAATAGGCTCTCGCAGCAGTGCTGTCGCTGCTCGGGCCTAATATTAAACGATACAGAAACAATAGGCTTTCGCAGCGCTGTCGCTGCTCGGGGCTAATAAGAAACTTTCGAAATACAATAGGCGCTCGCAGCGCTTTGCTGCTCTGCCCTAATTATTTTAAATGTTTGTCACTTTTAGTTAGCTGTGATCATCCCTTGATCATCCCTACATCAGAGTAAACATTTTCCCATATTAAACTCAAATCAAATAAAAAAATATCAGTAAACATTTTTAGTTATTTCGAGTAGCCCTAATCTTCTGCCACAGAAAAGAGTCAGAATTCTGACTTTAATCTCAAAAATCTTTCCATATTAAACTCAAATAAAATAAAAAAAATGAGTTAACTTTTTTCTTTTTTTACTTTTTTCCTCTTCCATAGGAAAAAGTCTTTTTTTTCTCAGACTTCTGACTTAATATCAGACTTCCTAGATTAGAATTCTGATTTTTTTTTCCCATATTAAAAAAATTAATACATTTTTGTTTGACTTCTTACAGTGTCCCTAATCCTCTTCTGTAGGTACATGCCTGTATTATAGATGCATACTTGAAGCAACTGCTTAGTCAATTCCACTAAAACCCAAACATAAACCTCCTGTCTCTAAACGGACACAGGAAACCGGAACCTTCTTGCTGCAAGGCAGCAGTGCTACCCACTGCTCCACTGAGCAGCCCTGCTTTAATTCCAATACATAAGAAACATTAGGTTATATATAATTAGCTTTGCATTTACTGGGTTTTTAGCTGTTCTTCCTCTTTTGAAAAAACAGTGTATCTTTAGCATCTAGTAGCTTTATTGCTGTTGTTTTTTTAAGTAGACAGACAGGAAATAGGATTACAGGGATGGTGAAGACACGTGGCAAAGGTTTAACTTATGATGGCCGTGTCGAGGACCAAAGTTTTTCTAAGTGGGTCGCGCACAACTACTGCACTACCACTGACCATTAATCATTTTTTAGACAACTTTTCACTTTTACTCCTCACATTTTTTTGCAACTATCTCTACTTTCTACTCCTTACTTTCTAAAAATAGACTTGTTAGTTTTGTTTCACTCGAGCTCATTCTCATTGTGGCCGGTTGGTACAAAAAAAACAAAAAACATCAAAATAATGTTTCATCCAGACAATTTATTTCTTTGTGGTTGGACTCGGTGCTGCACCAATGTGTTGTTTGCCACATATCAAAATAAATCGTTTTTCAAGATGAAGCAAAGTTAAATTTGACTCTGTTAACCTTTGGTTATAAAACTAAGGAAATTTTCATCCAAAATTACAGAATATGTTCCTTTAACTATTTTTCCTGCATTATACTTTAAGTAATTTTAAAGATGGTAGTTTTTGGTCGTGTTTTTAAACTGTTTTTTTGACAGGATCCACCACAAGGAGGTTTGTTCTTCTATGGAGAGATGAGATAAGCTGAGGATCCCTGCCCACCATACCAGAACCCAAAACCAGCATAAAGAGGTTCAGTGAATATGATGTTAAAGGTATAGAGGTGGATTAGTATGTCAGAAGAGACTCTGTAGAAAGACAGAACACCGGCAGGAAAGTCCACATACACTGCTACACGGTTGGAGACATAGGAGGAGGAAAGAACAACCTCTTTCTGATTGTGGCAGACGGCGTAACCAATGGTAGAGCAGCTCAGACTCCAGGACTTTTCATTTCTTCCAAACAAGCATTCACCTCTAGTTCCTTTCCTTCCGATTCCTATATAACTCACAGCTATGTGAACCACTCCTTCCCACTCCACCTCCCAGTAGGAGCGGCCAACCAGTGCGTCCGTGCAGAGCAGCTGACTGAAGTGAAACCTGTTGGGATGATCTGGATAGGGCTGCTCCTCTTTTACTGTGGCCACTTTCCTGTTGCCGTGGGACAGTTGGAGCTTTATGTGGGCCGTGTTCAGGTCCAACGTCAGTTCACAGAAATCTGAGAGAAAGAGCGAGACGACATAATTCCGTAAAAATTCAAAAAATATCCACTGGACTTGGTTTTCAAGATTTGAAGACGTTTCGCCACCTCTCCAGGAAGCTTTCTCAATTCAAATGAGACGACATAAGTTTATCAGGAGGCTTCAATCATTGCTTTCATACGCTGTTTTATCAAGACTGAGTTTAGTTCATAAATTCAACTTAACAAACACTCACACTTCTTCAGACCACGTTTTAGTCTCTGTTGTCCATCATATTCCAGTCTGCAAGAAGAAAAATTCAGTTTTTAGACATTAAAAAGCAAAATTCAGTTGTTAAAAATAATGTTTGAAATATCTTTACATAATTCAATTATGCTTATCAAATAAGACAGATTAAAGCCATTAAATAAATCTGTACACTTATGAGAGCCTGTTCGTGTTTTCTTAGTGACTCCTCAGTGAACCACAAACTCTGTTAAAAATGTCTCAAAGAGTTCTTTGGTTGTTAATTAGTTTCCTAAATTCTGTCATGAGGCGGTGTTTGTTAGGAGGACCCAAATGCAGAGACCAGTAAGCAGAGGTGAATTAAGTCTGTTTATTTAGGTTCACAGATCCAGGGGCAGGAATCAGAGTCCAGCTGAAAATAATAAACGTACCAGAACCAAGGAGACCTCGGGGGTAAACCAAACCTCAAGGAGCCAGGAAGAGACGAGACAAGGCAGGCAGATGTTAGACGGGGAAGGCAGGCAGAAGTTAGATTAGGATCCAGCAAACATGAACTGAAGAGGGAGGGCTTTTAAAGGGGACAGAGACAAAGAGAGAGCTGACGAGGAAATTGAAAACAGGTGCAGGCAGAACAGAAAAACAGAGCAAGGGAGGACACAAGAGGGCAGCAGAGGACAACAAATGGAAAACCAAGAAAAACAGGAACAAACAGACCAAGACTCTGACAAATTCTGCTCCATTGGTTTAACATGTTTCTGCACCCCCAGCGATAACACACAAGTTAAAATGTATCGCCAAAAATTTTATCTTTTTCTAAGCCAACCAGAAGCAAATCCCTAGAATCGAGCTTCTCTCTCAATGTTGTTCAATGGCATGTACCATCGCTAATATTATCTGAAATGATTTTGTACATACAACTTCTAGATTACAACACATTCATTAAAAATTTGCTCCTTTAATAATCAGTGGTCCAGCCAGGCAGCTTCATATAATGACATCACATGTTGCTGCTTAATTTTCTCCAATGGCTAGAAAAGTCTTATTTGAATTTACTTTTTTCTGAAATTTTAAAAGTTTGGAGTGTGGAGGTAAAGAGGAACACCGGGTCCTCTTTGCTGATGTAAATATTGTTGGAGTTCGGACCTGTCCTGTTTTGTAGATGAGCCAAACTGCACAGAGGTTAGATGAATACAGGGCTGACTGAATAGTGGACATGATCATCAGCTCCTGGGAAAGGTTGCACTTCTTGAGTTGTTCCAAAAAATCCAGTCTGTGCTGTGCCTCCATGCACACAATGTGAAGATCAACTCAACTCCCAAGAAAGGGTGGTAGCCAGGATGTACAAAAGATCAATATTGTTAAAGTTGATGAAAAGATGGATGACTGCACCAGTGGGTCAGCTGCCTCCTGTCTGTTTGCAGACTCTTCAACGTCCGCGATCAGACCAATGATGCTGGTGTCATCACCAAGCTACAGGACTCTCACGGATGATTCCAATCAGTTGAAGTAACTTGTTAGAAGAAGATTTAGGAGAGAACTTACCCGGGGTGCACATTTGCTAATGGTGGGGAGCTGCTGGTTATCAATGTTTTTTTTTTATACAGGAATAATCAGCAATTTATAGGAATCCAGGTTGTGTGGTCTGTTTATGTGCCCTGTTTTCGTTGGGCCTCCCTGCACACCTGTGGCTCATTGGACCATTATCTGGAGGAGTATTTGAGCAATGGACTGTCACTACCTCGACACCAGATGTTTGCCAGTTTTGGGCAATCTACCCCAGCTAAAGATTAGCTGAGTCTAACTTGAGCTTTGTTTCTCTGAGAGTTATGTTCTTTTGTCCTTGTTCTTCGTGAGGAAGCCTTCCTGTTTAACTGGATACCTGGACCTTCTCCCCCTGGAAGGAAAGTCTGAGTTCACACTGAGCAACTTCCAATCAGAAATCCGACTGACAGTCCGCTCCATTACTCCTCCAGGTCCAACGTTTGTCTACCTGTTCGTTCTCCAACATGTTACATATTCTCTGGACAATCCCACACAGACTGGATTCAAGGATTGACAAGAGAAAGTACCTCTCCTGCTTAAATCTTACGAAATCCAAAATTCCCTTGGTCCCTGAACTGATCTCTGTGATCTTCCCTCCTCACTTCAGGTTCCGGTTCACCAGTTTACTGAGCTCCAGATTCTACGCCAGATCTCTTTTTCCCCAATAAATCTGTTGAACTTTTCCCCTGGTTCTCTGAGTGGTTACTCTGTATGTGGGTCAGATTCATTAAACCGATCATGACAGCAATCAGCTGTGTTCCATAGGCAGAAAACTTTCAACTAATCTATTAGTTCTATTAGCATGTTTGATAGAATTTTCTCTATAGAGTGCCTTGAGATAATATGTTTGGTGTTATCTGAATAAACTGAATTCAAATTAATTGAACTTTGAGAAGAAGAGACCAATGTGATGTAGCTATGAAAATAAAAGTCCATTCAAATTCTAAAAAGGTCTGAAAATATGTCAAGTATATGTGAAAGAAGCTATCTTCTAAGATACCCTCTTTAGAATATACTTGCCATATTTTCAGGGTCATAGTTTCAAAGTAGGTAGATAATGGGATCACCAACGCTGGGGGATTTTACTTTATGGTCAGACTTCATGGTCTTTTCAACAAGTGAATAAGTAATTTGCCCAAAATGTATTGAAAAGATGCATCAGCTGCTCTCACTACCCAATATCTTCCACATATAAACAAAACTGATGGTCCTTAACTAAGCAGTATTAAACTAACAATTATTGTTTTGAGTGAAAATGAATCCAATTCAATAGAATGCATGAACATGAATCTGACCTGAGAATCTCTAGTCTGGAAAGTGGATCCTCCAATCTAGCCAAAAGCAAATCTTTCCCTGAATCTCCAGGGTGATTGAAACTCAGGTCCAGCTCTCTGAGATGGGATGGGTTAGTTCGCAGTGCGTACTCCAGGAAAGAACAGCCCTTCGCTGAGATCATGCAACCCGATAACCTGCAAACAAACAACGAAAAAATTATAATCTTGTCGGCAACTCTTAAAATACACACAGTAGAATATAATTAGTATCAGAATGAAGATAGCAGATTAGAATCTGTGTTAGTGATGGAAAATTGTCAAAATACCAGGAGAAACATGCAAAAAGACTATCAGCACTTATAAAATGGGTTACATTGCTATAACATTGACACAGATGTTTCATTTGATTATTAGAAGACTTTATTTCCTACATTCCAATTCAATACAATGTAGGAATAAAAACGTTTTTTTCTACTCAGTATACAATGCTATATTTTAAAAGCTGTGATGGACAGGTGAACTGTCCAGGGTGTACCCATAGACTGTTGGAGATAGACACCAGCCCCACTGCGATACTAGATACGCAGTAGACTGTGCGTCAGTGTAACACAGGAGGTCTGGAGATGCTACGTTGGTGTAGCTTCTAGGTCTTGAAACGAGGAAGAGAGAGGAGAGAGTGACAGTATCACGGGGGTCTCTGGTCCTTGTTGAAAAGGCTGGTAGTGGATGGGAAAAAAAACTGTTCTTGTGGCGTGAGGTTTTGGTCCTGATGGACTGCAGCCTCCTGATGGAGGGAAGTGAATGAAATAGTGTGTGACTGGGGAACGAGGAAACAGCCACTATCGTCCCTGCATGCCTCAGAGTCCTTGAGGCGTAGAGATCCTGGAGAGATGGAAGATTGCAGCCAATCACCTTCTCTGCAGACCAAATTTTTTTCAAAGGTTGCAGGAAGTACATCCTCTGCTGGGCTTTCTTTGTGGGGAGTTGATGTTCAGCTCCCACTTTAGGTCCTGTAAGATGATAGTTCCCAGGAAGCTGAAAGACTCAACATTGTCAATTGTGGAGTCAAGGGGGAATGGGATAGCTGGGACTGAGTTCTTCCTGAAGTCCACAACCATCTCCACTCTTTTTAGAGTGTTGAGCTCCAGGTTGTTCTTCCTGCACCAGGTTACCAAATGGTCAACTTCCCACTTGTAGGTGGACTTGTCACCATCAGAGATAAGTCCGATAAGACTGGTGTCATCCCCCAAATTCAGAGGCTCGACAGACTGATGACTGGAGGTGCAGCTGGTGCACAGGGAATAGAGCAAGTGAGAAAGAACACAGCCCTGCGGAGAACCAGTGCTGATGAGCTGGGAGTCAGAGACATGTTTTCCAGCTTCATGTGCTTCTTCCTGTTAGACAGGAAGTCTGTGATCCACCTGCAGGTGGAGTCAGGCACACTCAGCTGGGAGGGCTTCTACTGAAGCAGAGCTGGGGTGATTGCATTGAAGGCTGAAATCTACAAGCAAGCTCCTGGCGTAAGTACCTGGGACACGCCTACCGACAGGGGGGGACAAAGGTGTCAACTGTCCCAGGCCCAGGACAGAGGGGGGCCCGAAATTGACACTCTGATATTTTCAGAAAATATTTGTGAGAAAAATATTTAATAGTATATATATACATATATCTGCATTAGGTAAATGTAATATGTTTTCTTTAAATAAGGGGCTATTAGAACTCCCCCAATCCAACATAAAATAGTTTGACCAGGACAACAGTGGGCTGCAACTTTTAAAGTTAATTTCGCTGCAAACTAAGAATATCAGGATTTCAGAAGTCCATCGCAGAAAAAAAAAAGAGGGAAGATGAAAACAAAGGCTTGAGGGATTTTATGAGTAAATATAAATACACTCAGGAACAGGTCCAGGAACGAAATTGATGAAGAATGATGGGGGCGACCGTGTTGTCCAGGGCCCTAGCTGTGGAACCCAGGTGCAGGAGGATGTAGTGAGAAGCCAAGTTGACAGCGTCGTCTGCAGACCTGTTGGCTCTGTAGGCAAACTGTAGAAGGTCCAGGAGGGGGTCAGTGATCTCTTTCAGGTGTGAAAGTGCAAGAGTTTTCACTGACATGATTATCTTCATATTAGGCAAAAGCTCGCTAAATGTCCACTTTTGTTGTATCCCACTAAATAAAAGTAAAAACACTCATAAGGTGGTAAAAAATTGTTTTCCCATCTATTTCTCTATTCTAAGCCATGATTGCTTGTTTTGTTTTTCCATCTTGCTCTAAATTGTCCCCTGAGGGCGGACACCTGCCAGACAGGGCTGGGAGTGAAGGCTTATCACTGCTGTTTTTCAGTGTGGGGTATTTTGGAAATGGAGTAAAATACCTTTAGGTTTAAGGTTATAAAGAATTCCCCTGTTTGCTCTAAACGGTCTTAAACTTGTTTTGGTGAAGCTGTATGTAAAAAACCCTCCCGGTTTTCTACTGAGTGTCAAGTAGTTAGTGGAATCCTTTGTCTGAGCAGAAGAGGCAGAACAGAGTAAAAGTGTCTGTTCTTCCTTGCAAGGATTAATAAATACTGCTAAGGACCCCCAATCTTGTTCTCATGGAATCAGACTAAGAACTTTTTTTTTCTATATAACACTAACTTTTTAAAAAGGTACAAGACTACCACTTTAACCTCTAGTTGGTTGCAATTAAAGTACTGTTAAACCAGGTCTGATCATGCTCCTTAAGGTGCTTTCATGATGTATGGGACAATTTAACAGGGATAACTAAATTGGGAGGACACAAGATACACTCACTGGCCACTTTATTAGGTACCCCATGCTAGTAACGGGTTGGACCCCCTTTTGCCTTCAGAAGTGCCTCAATTCTTCGTGGCATAGATTCAACAAGGTGCTGGAAGCATTCCTCAGGGAGTTTGGTCCATATTGACATGATGGCATCACACAGTTGCTGCAGATTTGTCGGCTGCACATCCATGATGCGAATCTCCCGTTCCACCACATCCCAAAGATGCTCTATTGGATTGAGATCTGGTGACTGTGGAGGCCATTTGAGTACAGTGAACTCATTGTCATGTTCAAGAAACCAGTCTGAGATGATTCCAGCTTTATGACATGGCGCATTATCCTGCTGAAAGTAGCCATCAGAATTTGGTTACATTGTGGCCATAAAGGGATGGACATGGTCAGCAACAATACTCAGGTAGGCTGTGGCGTTGCAATGATGCTCAATTGGTACCAAGGGGCCCAAAAAGTGCCAAGAAAATATTCCCCACACCATGACACCACCACCACCAGCCTGAACCGTTGATACAAGGCAGGATGGATCCATGCTTTCATGTTGTAGACTCCAAATTCTGACCCTACCATCCGAATGTCACAGCAGAAATCGAGACTCATCAGACCAGGCAACGTTTTTCCAATCTTCTATTGTCCAATTTCGATGAGCTTGTGCAAATTGTAGCCTCAGTTTCCTGTTCTTAGCTGAAAGGAGTGGCACCCGGTGTGGTCTTCTGCTGCTGTAGCCCATCAGCCTCAAAGTTCGACGTACTGTGCGTTCAGAGATGCTCTTCTGCCCACCTTGGTTGTAACGGGTGGTTATTTGAGTCACTGTTGCCCTTCTATCAGCTCGAACCAGTCTGGCCATTCTCCTCTGACCTCTGGCATCAACAAGGCATTTCCGCCCACAGAACTGCCGCTCACTGGATGTTTTTTCTTTTTCGGACCATTCTCTGTAAACCCTAGAGATGGTTGTGCGTGAAAATCCCAGTAGATCAGCAGTTTCTGAAATACTCAGACCAGCCCTTCTGGCACCAACAATCATGCCACGTTCAAAGTGCATGCCACTCAAATCACCTTTCTTCCCCATACTGATGCTCGGTTTGAACTGCAGGAGATTGTCTTGACCATGTCTACATGCCTAAATGCACTGAGTTGCCGCCATGTGATTGGCTGCTTAGAAATTAAGTGTTAACGAGTAGTTGGACAGGTGTATCTAATAAAGTGGCCGGTGAGTGTAGAATGCTAATTGTGTCATAATTATTATTTTTATTTTAATCAAAACTTCATCCAGTTTTAAAGCAATGTGTATTTGGATGCCCTCCAGACATTTTGATTATTAATGTGCTTAGTTGATGTATCTCAACAAAACCATATTTTGGAGGGTTTTAACCCAGCAAGCTGAAATCCAGGCATCACCTGAGAGTTTCCAGAAAGCAGTTGGAGCTCTGAAGTCCAACAGAAAGAAGCTTCATCCCCTGATCCCCAAGGTCATTGTTATTTAGATCCACCTGTTTCAGTTTGGAAGACTGGGAGCAGAACACTGATGATAACTCCTCGCAGCAGCTCTCTGTGATTGATGTTTGATTTAACCTGGTCGAAAACAGAGATTTCTGTCAGTATTGTGATTCGTTGTTTAAATTGCTCAGAAAAAAATGGCTTTCCATTTTCCCTATTCATCTCATTCCTTTGTAATGAGATGAGTAATTCACACATATTTAATGCTGAGTTGTGGATGTTACTGCGTCTGACCTGAGAGTTTCCACAGAGCATTGAGGACTTCCCAGAGCAGCACAGAGCAGCTTTACTCCTGAGTCCTGCAGGTCGTTGCTGCTCAAGTCCAGCTCTCTCAAACAACAGAACTTTGAGCTGAGGACTGATGATAACTCCTGACAGCTTCTTCCTGTGACGCCAACCTGGTATAACCTGATGGACACAGACATTTTTCACAGATGTATGACCATTATCTAGGAAATTTAAAAGAGTTTTCTTGATTAATGCTACATTCAGACTGGAAGCAGCAAAAAAGCGTCTGCTTCTTCATTACTGATGCTTGTACACATTGGGGTGAAGTGTGTCCAGATGCATCTGATGCTTCTGCTGCTCCTGTGTTCAATGGCAGAGAGCGGCTTTGCTATATTTGCTGTTATCTGGGTTAAAAAGTAGTTTTGTCAGGGTTCAGTGTTTCTGTGCTCTGCTTACTCTCTTCCACAGTTGGTTATTGCTGACAGGTGGGCGTGGCCCCGCACCTGTGTCTCGTTGAAACTGCTCAGCTGAGCTTAAGATGAGTTTTCAGTCTGCTGAAGGACGCCAGAGTGTTAAACCGCTGTGGTACGCCTAGGCCTCTATCCAGTCGACAAATCTCTGAAACCTGATGTTTTGGATTGCTGGTTCTAACCGGTCTCCTGTCTCCCTCAGTTGGTTGAGCTCTGGATTGCTCACCCGCCTGTCTCTGTGCTCTGAGGACTGGACTCTAAATCCCTGCTGCTCAGATTCTGCTCTGGCGTTTAAATCGAGCCCCCTCGGTACTACCGAGTCGGACAAGAGATTCCTTCCCTGGATTCACACTGGTTCCTTCAGCTGGTCCTCAAACTTGTCTCCGCAGCGGTGCTGCTCGGGCCCCCGCCTAAGTCCCACCTGTCGCCATCGGATAACTGTGAGTTACAGAACCCATTCCTCCACTCATCCTCCCTGGATAGGTTATCTGTACCTGGCGGTAAGCAGAGCAGCAACAGCGCAGGTTTCTTTTTATTTTCTTAGTCTTAATCAGTTTCCTCTTTGCTCCCGCAGAACTCCAAACACTGACGTTCCGAACCTCGTCTGCGGCTCCTGTTCTAAATTGACCTTATTTCTGTGTAGACAAATAAACATCTTAAACTGCTCCTGTTTTCCCCCATCTATGTCTGCATGTGGGCCATCCATCCATCCATCCATCCATCCATCCATCCATCCATCCATCCATCCATCCATCCATCCATCCATCCATCCATCCATCCATCCATCCATCCAT